GAAGCGAGCCCAGCCGCACGCCCCGAGCGCGGCGTGCCTCGGCAGCCGGGCGCTGGGGGCTGTGCCGCGGGCGGGACTCTGCCCTGCCGCCGGCTCTGCGCCCCATCCCACCGGGGGGCTCGCACCGCAGCAGGGGAGACCAGGCCTCGCCGGGGCTGGCAGCGCAGGCAGGAGAGGGCAGCAGGGCCAGGCAGGCAAGAGGGAAGCCAGGGAAGGGTGGGGCTGGAGCCCTGCCCATGGGCGGGCGGGAGCGGGATGGGAATGGGGAGTGGGATGGGGAGCAGGACGGGGAGCGGGATGGGGATGGGGAGCGGGACAGGGAGTGGGATGGGGCTCCTCGCCTGGGCGGGGATGGGATCCGGGTCTGCAGGGGCGGGATCAGAGCTGGGCTGGCCCAGAGTCCCTGCTGGGTGTGCTGGGACGGATCCGTGCTGTGTGGGGCGGGATCTGGGCTGTGCATGGACAGGATCCGTGCTGTGCAGGGAATGCGATCCGTGCTATGCAGGGGACGGGATCCGTGCCATGAACGTACAGGATCTGTGCTGGAACAAAGTTCCTGCTGGGTGTGCAGGGACAGGATCTGTGCTGTGTAGGATTGGGGCTGTGCAGGGACAGGATCCATGCTGCGCAGGAATGGGATCCGTGCTATACATGCATGGGATCCCTACCACATGGGGCAGGATCTGTGCAGTGCATAGACAGGATCTGTGCCAGGCGGGGATGGGATTCATGCTGTGCATGGGCAGGATCTGCGCTGTGCAGGGACAGGACCCGTGCCATGCGTGGAAGGGATCGGTGCCCCATGGGGCCGGACGCATGCCATGCGCGGACGGGATCGGTGCTCGCGTGCCGACCCCAGCCGCGCCGTCTCCCCGGGCAGGCTGGAGCGGCTGCAGCGCATCGTCAGCAAGCTGCAGATGGAGTCGGGGCTCTGTGAGGAGCAGCTCAACCAGGCTGACACCCTGCTCCAGTCGGTGAGCGGCGGCTCCGGCCACGGGGGCACGGCGGAGGGGGCCAGGCGGTGCGCGGGGCCCTGACCGTGCCTCTGACCGTGCCCTTGATCATGCCCCGTCCCCAGGACGTCCGACTGCTGAATGCGGGGAAGCCGCCGCAGAAGGCAGCCGAGATCGAGCGGGACCTGGACAAGGCGGATGCCATGATCCGGCTGCTCTTCAACGATGTGCAGACCCTCAAGGATGGCCGGCACCCGCAGGGGGAGCAGATGTACCGCAGGTACGGCTGCGCTGGGTGCGCCCCATGAGCAGCCAACGACCTGTACAC